CGCTTTGAATATTCTCAAAAACGGATATCCTGAAAGTATTGCAAGTAGTATTGAAATTCCTGAATTAGAACCATGCGCGATATGCAATGAAGAAATTTTTTTGCATTTATTTAAAAAATCTTTCACCGTATTAACTTGTGGCCACGTATTCCATCGTCTTTGTCTTGAAAATATTAGAGAAAATACACACATTTGTCCTGGCAAAAATTGCGTCGCGGAAATCGAAATTGTTGAAAAGTCTCCACTAGTACAAACGCCGTCCCAAAGAAGTATGAGCATAGATGGGTCACAAGAAAAATTATTCAATCCAGAGAATGATCCATCTTGTCTAGACACAATTGCAGAAGAGGACTCCAATGATAATCGTTCACAAAACAAAGAATCCGACGTACCTGAAACATCAACTACAAGTGCTTTGCCATCCAAACGCGCTAATAAAACTACCACTATGGATAAACCACCCAGTAAAAAAAAGAAATCCTCGAGTAGAGAAGATTCCCCTGTATTGAAAAAACTTATCGATGAGTTGTCTACTGATGTTTCTGGAACTTCCGAAGTCATAAATAATGCAAGGGAAGATACCAGTAATACCAGTAATTTTTTATATCTCTATAGCAGGATTGATCAAGCCGAATCTAAGAATGAGACAACTAACCAAGATGTCATTAGGTGTTATTACTGTTTTGGAAAGGCTCTTGAGGATCGATTCGAACATTACAAGAAAACTAATCCCAAACGTACAGCTCAAGCGCTAGTTAATGAAGAAGTTAGGAAACAACTCCCCCACACACTTAGTGATGCCCTACTTCGGAAGAAAAAAGAAAGAGCTCAGAAGATTTATGATCTTTTTAACGGAATTGGTGAAGATATGATTCGACGGATTAAATCTTTTACAGCTTTAACTATATCAAAGTTAAGTCAAGACGATATCGATTATATACTAGTCAAACTTGCAAAAAAATAGCAAATAGATGATTATAATCATTACTGCGCCACCCACGTGATGTTGTGACCACCTAGGTAGATAACACGTAGGGTGGTACTAAGCGGTGAATGGACCTCGCCTTGTACTATTAATAAATAGTATAGGACGTGGGCAGTAACTACTTACGTACATAAAAACACCATATGTGGATTCTACTAAGGTTATGTCTTATTAATAGCCGGCTATTCTTGAAATTTATATGAAAAAAGAAAACCAATCTGATCTCGCGTATATGTAATTAGACATCAAAAAAAAATATTTACATTCGACTAATCAATTTTTCAATATCTGCTTTACAGTTAGCGGATGCGTTTGAATATATTCGTTCATCATTACAGTTAAAAGTTTTGGTATGTTTTTATTCAAGTAACTGCTATTTCTAAGAAATTAACCATAATGAACGATTAAATTTTGCAATTATAGAACGTTGAGGAACCCTGGGTCGTAAATGTATCTAAAAATTTCAGCATATTAAAAAATGAAGTACATATGGTTAGTTATTATAACATAAATCGTTTTTTTTTATACCATTCGCTAATATAAAGAATTTAGCTTGTCTTATCATCATCAAGTGACGAAAAAATAATGTGGAAAAATATAGAAGAACAATTAAATGAAATAAAGGTTGAAGATTTAGGCTATGATCATCCGCTATGCTCTGGAATATTAGATATTAGTTCAACCCCCTTCACTAAAATGGCAAAAGATATTTGCAATCGTTTTAACGTGTTATCTGATAAATTCTCAATTCCGTTTAATAAAGCGATAATGAATACTTGTGAGAATTTTGTTCAGAAAGAAAAAGAAAAAAAAAATATCTCCGATAATAATCCTAAATCTTTTGGTAATGCGAGATATGGCGAGTTTTTGGATGGATCGAAGGAATTGCAATCAATCTCAAATCAAATGTTAGAATCATTGGCTCGGGTATGGAGATCCCCAAAATGGAACTCATATGGAGACTCTAAAAAACCAGCTATAAATGAAGGATCGTACGTATGTGAGGTTATATCACCATTGATAAATATTGTAATGAGCGATTTACCTGTAGATTCCGATACATGGGGAGTATGGTAATATCTTGTTAATAATTTTGAGATTAGTATTTTGTTTACTATACGAGCAAGGGCATTCTAACGATTTTCTTTTTTAATATAAGGGGGGAGCAGGCGAGTTCTGCTAGTGCGGAACGGAAGCGATCTTATAAGAATGCACGCATGGTTTATTTTTATTTTTTGACTTATAAATAAAGCCGATTCTGGTAGTCTATTACACACATATATATATATTCGAAAAAATAAGCTAATTAACTTCTAAACATATTGAGAATATCCGATTCGATGTTATTTACCTCTAAATATCTACATAACTCTCCATAATCAAAAACCGCCTTCCTATCTTGCGTATTCCTATTAATTATAACTATGTTTTCACCTTCTATTACATGCATATACTTAACAAGATTTTTGAATTGCATATACTGCATAGGATTATCCGTGAATCTACTTTGAGTTTTTCGTCTGTTATTTCTAGATTTACGAGACATATTTGACGTATATATTAATATGATTAAACGACTTCAATTTTTTGCAAAAATGATTGTAATCCGCATTAACGACATCAAAAATTATGATCTCATAGGATCTTATTTTATTGATATAAAAATGTTGCTAAAACAACGATATATAAATAAAAAATTATATATATTGGTGGAGTTTCACATTTGATCTAACATATCGTTCAGTTTACCAGGATTTATAATAAAGTCGCCATTTTCTCTATCTTTTTCTAATTTTTCTCTCGAAAGATTTTCCCAGAATCTACCATTATCAACGTTATAGTCATCGTCTTCTAAGGAGGGATCATAGGTCATCAAATTATCTAATTTAACGTATAGGATACGCAGATATAATCCGGTAAAATGAGAGTTAGTCTTGCTAATTTCACTAATATACGAAGAGCATTTTTTAACGAAGACACCTACTAAAACTATTTTTCTTATTTTTGCGGTTGGTTTTAGATGATTTTGGTCTAGAAGATTTTTGTTTGAACGATGTTGAGTTATTAGTATTGTTAGTATTAGAATCGCTAACACTGGGAGCATTAGAATCGCTAACATTGGGAGCATTAGAATTATTGGTATTACTCATTTTGCGCTTCTAAATATAAAATTCATAATTAGTAGAATATCACTTTCTTTTTTGTAACGTAAATGCCCAATCTACATTACCTTAGAAATAAGTTGCGAGTATTTTTTGAAAAATAAATAAATATATAATAGCGATGTTATTGCTAACCCACCTCACAAATCCGGTTTATTTATATGATTTCATTCGCTAAATCTGAGAACCTGTTAGAAGAAAAAAATACATGATTAGTAATTACGTTACCCCAACCATTTCTCGGATCTTTCTTCGTAAGGCAGGTCTATTAAGTCATGGGTGTCAAGAACTAAATATGTTTCGCCTTTTATGGGGAAATTAAACCTTCCAGTTTGGCGATCGCTTTTGTAGAATAAAAAATAAGACAGATTTTGGCGATCTCAGATCTCAAGTTCCGTAACATATGAATTTGATATTATTACTGATAAAGAACAATAAACTCTCCTCCTTCATAACCTTTTTGAGTCTCATTCATAGTTGTTCTTATCAGAAAGCCATATACAATAAGGAAAGCTTTATTGCTATATACTATAATAAATATAGTATATAACGACCTTTGTTCCACAAGATTAATTGTGATACAACTATATATAGTAATAGAATGTCTACATCTTGTGCGACTATATGCAGGGATCTCTAAACTTAAATGGGTTCAGATGATTGAGCTTCTCTAAATAGAAAGTTGTCATACAACATTATTCCAAAAAAAGAAAATTCTGCGGTGAATTTTGTATTATCTGTGAAATTATGTGAATCACAGAAAATCATTGTCCCTGAATCATGTATATATTTGCATTCTTTTTTCGATCTTTATTGGATCAACAACCAGATAAATACTCCTAATAACATTAGGCTAGATTAAGCTATTAGGCTTCAAGATTTGAGTATAAAAATCAAAATCCCCAATGTACAACAATTCTTCCGAATTAGATCACTGATTCACGTAGGGGTGTAAGTGAATACCAACTCGCTACTCAATTGTATTGAAAAATCATAAATTTATAACATCATGAGCTTTTAATTAGCAATAAAAGGCATTAATGACATTAAGTATACCTATATTTTTTTAAAAAATGTTAATGGCCTTATTTAAGGAACATATTAGCATTTTCTCGGATATAGTATTCTACTGACTGAGACTGAAACGTCACAGTGTTTTTTTCTGGATGATATGCAAATACATTGTATTCCAACATTTTATCAGATTCCTCTGCCCTATTGAAAAATTTCATATATGTTATATAGCTAAGCTCTTTGGATTTTAATAAAGAATTGATGACACGCTTTCCCACTTCATGGTATGGTTGATTTTCATAGAGTTGTGCATTTTTAAATTTCTTCTCGACTTCAGTTAAGATTTGCCATTTAATGACTACAGAAAAAGGGAAAAGCAATTAATCCAAAGTAGAAAAATGCAAATTTGATTGATGCAAAATATAAATCATTATTACCTTTGAAGGACTTTCCATCCAGAAAATCATCCGCCACAGCCTTCAGCTCTACGATACGACCACCAACTAATTCATAGATTTTATTTGCTTCTGAAGAGCTAATTTTGCGCTTGTTGA